ACCAGATTGGCTCACGTTTATTCTTAACTTTGTGTAACATAGAATCCTTTACAAAATGCCGGAATACGTCTTGCATATATAGTTCACTCGTGAGAAAATATATGGTCCGCCTCGATGGTTAGCATATGTCAACAGAGAATTACTGTGCTGATTAGCCGTTAAGGTTCAGCCTAAAGATGCTCGATAGGAAAGAAATCGGGTTATTGTACTGGTCAGGAAATTCGACACAAGTTATTTTCGTGTTCTTCCAAACTATTTTGCATAACTCGAGCCTCATGGATATCTTGCAATATCTACTAAGAAGAGCCCATGTCCATCAGTGTTGAAAAGCAGCATTGTAGGGTGGATAATACACAAATTCCAGGTATATTCTGGATGTCATTTCTCTTTCTAGAGGAATAAAAGGACCCAAAACCGCCACGAGAACATTCACCGCCTCAGTACACCATATTAATGAATATTAGAATATGTCCGGAGTCAAGTGTCTCATGCATTTTTCTTAAAGACATTCATATTAACAGATGTAACACCACCGATCATGTTAATAAGCGAATGCGTGTTGCTTTACTCTTTTTCTTGTTCAAGACTTCCAAGTGATGTAACAACACCAGTCTAAAATTATTACTGTAGCCTGAGGTTGCACTGTAATTTGTTAACTCTCCCCAACTCACCCTCTAACACACAAATTGATGCCTCTTTGACTTTCCCTTGCCATAACAATATTTGATTTTCTCGCGGAAGTTGTGACATAAATTAACTTTAGAGTAGCCAGCACGTGCGTCTGTGTTCAATATCACTGTCCTATATCCTTCTTATTAAAACACCTTGACCACAACAAGTGATTTCAATCTTTTCCGACACCCCATCCCATTTCGAATACAATATAAACAATACAAATTTCAAATTCCTCTGAATGACAGTTGAGAACCTATTAACCCTAAAATTACTTCTATGGTCCAGGAGTTGGTCGAGTTTTTAAATATGTTTGTCTGGAGAAGTTATGCAGCAAATTGCTTGTGCACATCAATGTTGACTACAGGAACTCTAACAACGTATAAGCCCTATGAAACATTCAAACAAAAAATACTGTCAATATTACCATCATTCCACTAATTACTGCTATGTATTTTACATATAAAGTGAGTCATTTCACACATTATTTTGGTCAGTTCTTTGAACTAAATATTGTGACGAGCCGAAACATAAAATTACTTAATTGATATGATGCAGTATGAGAAACCCATCGACAGTGAACAGTACGATGTTGTTTTTTAGCTACACAATGGGCTATTTACACACTTTGCACTGTGGAAATTGAAACCCGGATTTTTGCGATGTAATTACGTAAACTTACCGTTGATCCATGATGGGTTACGTAAAGAAGTTGTACTTTAGATGAGAGATGAGTAAATAAGAATGAATCAACTTTAAGTTACTGTACAAATTGAAAGCTGAATAACTCGAAGATAATTAAAACTTCAATTATATATATATATTCTCAAATTTTTGGATTACAAATTTCTGATAACGTAGTATTTATATTTGGTATAGTAATATATGTATCAAGGAAATGTGAATTTTCTCTTGTTGTTACACTGAATATGTTTTCCACTATAAAATATTACAGGAAACATATCCAACATATTTTTCATAAACAACACAGGGAATATAATTCCTACTTATTGCAGGAAATCTCTGTTCAGTAGATACATGTATTACAAGAAGCTTCTTTAATGTAATGAAAGTAGATATAGATATTAAATGGAACTTATAAGAAGAAAAGTGGCGTTTACTTTGTATTTATATTATCGGAAATCGGGATTTTGAAGCAGTTTGTTTGTTGGTTGTTAAGCCCAAAGCTACGTAAAAATATATTCGATTTAAAGAAAACTTTTGGCATATTATATTGATTTTTAAAGTTTCTTTTTTCATTTTTAGACTTTTGATGGAAAGACTAAAATATTTTTAGAAAAGGTTGGGTAAATATTTTTCCCGCTAGGGCTTAAGTTCCCTTAAAATCTTCTGCAATATTATGCACATGTAGTTTGTTTGTTTGTAATTAAGCACAAAGCTACACAATTGGCTATCTGTGCTCTGCCCATCACGGGTATCGAAACCCGGATTCCAGCATTGTAAGTCCGCAGACATACCGCTGTGCCACTGGGGGGGGGGGCGCATGTAGTACAAATACTTGAATGTTTGGTTGTTGTTTTTTCCAACAAAAAGTGTAAATATGCGTATTTTTGCTCCTATTTTTAAAATCAAAGTTTACAACAACAATGTTTTAATTTTCTATTTATTTTCGACCGTAAATAATCAAGTTTATATTCTTAAAAGCAGTTTTTGATAATTATGTTTTTAACTTCTAATATAGCTTATCTTTTAATTCTATCTGGCATGTATAATGAACAAAATGGTTGCTTTAATTTTGATCATTATATTCGCTGATTTTGCAATGGATCATCGAAGATCAGTCTGTGACCTCATGAAACTTATGGTTTGTCAAACTTTACATGTTAAAAGAATAACTTAAATTCTAATATCAGTTTATGACGGCTTAAAACTTACAGCCACCTTTAATTTTCCATTGTGAACCTAATTAATCATCTAGACCGTGTGGTGTTATCACGTTAAAAGGTGAAAAATAAGTACGGTCAAACAAATGCTTTCTGTAGTTGTGTATTTATAGCATAATGTTGTTTTTAATCAGTGACGAATTTGTTTACCTTAAGGCTATCAAAGAATATGATGTACGGGAACATCTATCATCAAATCTATCGGGAGAGCGGAATATCAGGAAATCCTGAGGTTTTATTTGTTTTGGCCATCACCTTGGCTTGGAAAGGAGCCAAGGACTTGTTATAAGCTAAATGAAATGTAAATAAAGCGAAAAATGTCTGCTGTTATAGAGGTAGTTTACAGAAAAAAAACAACAACTTAAAACACATTCCTCTTTAGGTATAAATGTGCTTTTTTTTAGTCAACAAAAAATGTAATTAAACATAGTAAGAAAAGCTTTTGAACAGTAATAAACAGTCAATTAAACATAGTAAGAAAAGCTTTTCAGCTGTAATAAACAGTCAATTAAATATAGCAAGAAAAATGTTCAATTGTAATAAACAGTTTCTACTTTCTAGTATTTCAATCACATGACATCATCGTTACCGTGGGTGTAAACGTTACGTTTCATTCTAGGTGTTTCTTAACGCCCTTACACTACGAATGTCTTCAAGTTAGCTGTAATTTTCATCATTTCATTCGATAAAATGGTATCATAAGTTGTAACGATTGTAGAAAAAAATCTCGCGGAAAATAATGAATATTTTATTTAAATTTCAGCAATCTGTAGTATTTCCGTCGTCCTAAAAAGTGTTCTCAAATGTACAACATTACCAAAATAAGTCTGTTTTCACTTGCGAGAGCTCACCCCTTCATGGGTGGCTCAGTAGTAAACGTGAGAGCTTACAACGCTATAATTCGGGGTTTAATACCTTCGATGGGCACACTACAAGTAGCCCATTGTGCAGCTTAGCGCGTAGCAAGAAACTTTTCAGTCCATATACTCATAGATTAAATATTTTATAACAAATTAATTCTTTATTTTCCTTTTATTTTAAACAGTGTAAATATATTTTTATTCTTTAAAGAACACTTTGGCATTCATTGTTTTAGTTAATGGTAATGAAATGAGAATAATTCAATTATATGGACTGCATGTGTATCGTTTATTAAATAGTGATGATCTGCATAATCCTGGTCATTTCAACCATAAAGTCATGGTCATTATAGGTAATGAGTCAAGTTGGAATATCTAGGTGTCAAACTATTAGGAGAAGAAAATAAGAAAACCCTAATTACTATTTATTTTGGCCTACAGCTTGGCTTGGAAATGGTCATGTACTTGTTAAAATCTTAATCGGCATTTCAATACCTTTATAAAGCGAATAATATCTGGAGAAATATGATGTTCATCACAGATAACCCTAGTAAACATATGTATATAATCCAGTCAACAATAAGCTAGCCAAAGCTATGCTATTTGATAAGTAACGACTTGAAATTGATGGCTAGTCCTGAAACGACAGCATTAAACATTGATGTGTAATAATCCTAATATAATTAAGACAGTCATGTTTAGTAAATGTAGTAATATAAGGGCTTGATGACAGTTACCATAGTAAAATTACTCCATATTTTTATTCAAGGTTTGTTTGTTTCTAGTCAAGCACAAAGCTACACAATGGACTATCTATGCTGTGCCCACCACGGGTATTGAAACCAGATTTTTGGTATTATAAGCCTTCACACTTATCGCTAAACCACTGGAGGGCGGGACTATTATTTAAGGTAATGATCAACTTAATAACTAGATAAATGTTATAGATTTACTATTTTTAATACAACAAACCGCCTGACAGTTATACAAGACAAGGCTTGTTCTGGAAATTCAGCAACTCGAAAAATTGTTTCATTGTTTTTTCAGTTGTTTGAAGTTGACATAGAAACATTATTGACTCAGATCATGCTTGTTTAAAATCGTATTGAATATAATGATATTTTTTTGTTGTTGGGAAAATCATGAGGTAACATTGTGATGTTAGTTGTTACCGCGTGTTTGTGTAATATAAACATCACAAAAGATATGCATTTAAACGTGCACAACTACAATGTTACACCGTTTTATTTTTAATATGAATCAATCTTTGTTCGTTCATATTCTGGTAAACTACAGACAATTAAATAAGGAGTTATGTTTCCTCCCAAACGTTAGAATGCTCGCACACGAGTTAAGCACGTTTACAGTGATACTAGTGACTGCCTCGGGAAATAAAAACACTTTAAAAATTACTGTATTATGTATAGCTGTTACATACAGTTTCAGTATTGTCCGAGAAGGTTGTATCGTTCTTTCGTTTCCTTTGTTGGCGTTAGATTATACTACTGACATATATTTACAACGTTTTACTTTAAAAACACAACACTAGCTGAACATTACTTACCCAAGGGCGAGATGGCTTCGCAGACAGGTGAAGTCACTTGGTCGGAGCCGTAGTCGCCGCCATCGTCGTTAGATACTCCGCTTGGATTCGCGTGTGAATTTGCGATCAGAGCGTCGATTGAAAAATGTTTGGCTCGCACAGAAAGCTGGGGAAGAACGTTGTTCTTACGGGCTTGGAGAGTGACGGGCGGCGGTAGCGGGTCCCCGGGGTCCATGGCCGGGCTACGCGGACCTGGCGCCACCATAGAGTTCGTAGTACAGCAGTTTTAGACGAAAAATGTATTACGCTCTGGGGAAATAACGGGCAAATTATTAATAGGAAGAGAATATTGAAATCAAGGTGATTTACTTAATCAATAATGCCACCAAGTAAAGATGTAAGATTAACAGTTGAAAAAAAAAAGATTTGGAAATAAACATTGTGGAACCGGAAAACAGCATTTAACGTGTATCCGGTGGGTCCCACAGGCTTCTATGCCGTCACTTGAGAAGAAGTCCGCAGTTAAATCAGCTTTATATAGCAAGCTGTAGTATTAAACTATGCTAGTAACCTACGTTTTGTACTCCGTAGTAGTTCTTTAAATCGTTGAGCTCTAGAAAGAACAACTGTATCAATGAAAACGAGAACACATGCTGTGTAGGAAGACAATCGTTAACGAAATTGACGCTTCTAGAAACAAACGGACAATTTCGGGCTGACCTTTTGGGAGATTTTAGCTAACTTTTCTCTGGTTACTAATGGAGGTCAACGTAAGTTTCAGTAAGTTTTTGATGTAATTCCCACCAAGAGGTTTTGTGATATAGAAGAACGAGCATGTTTAAAAAAGAAAAGAAAAGATGTTTAGCTCTAAAGAGCGACTTAGGACTACGTCAGCTAGATCACAGATTTCGTTCGCAGGATGACGAATCTAGAAGCTCTGCCAAGCCTGCGATACTGTAAATTCTTATGTGCTTACACTGTACTTAAGTCTGTTTTCTGGACGTACGCAGGCGCTTCACTAACTAGTCATCGACTTGGGAATGCTATTGGTGACATTCAACAGTTTGTAACAATCCACGATTCATCCAGTTCTTGCTAGTCTACGCGCTCGTCCAGTTACCACCTATAGGAAGTGGCGCCCTCTAGGGTGATCACTGCTCATACCAGCTGAGCTTTTGTAAGATCTTTGCTAACCAGCAACAAGGTTTGTGTTGGGTAAATCTCATATCATACGATGAGTATACGATTTTTTTTTTTTGCTTTGTAGCGCCACCTACTCTCTGGGGGCAATGAGGCGAGCTCCGCCCTTTTGATCTTGCACTAACTGCGAACATGTGCGATTATTGGGCATCGTATCTTCTGTGTATTGCAGAGGAGAGTCTCAAGAAGAGAAACCGCAGAGTGGAGGCGGAGCTGTTAAAGAACCTGGTTTTAGATTGGTTGGCATGCTCTTAGTTCCTTTGGAGGGTTTAAATCATTGGGGATGTATCAGTTTTCAGAAGGTAACAGCTGTTTACATAGTGTGTATAGCTGTGACGTACCCAATACTTTCCGTGTCACTTCCCTGTTTTGTGTCACTGAGCGCTTCTTCTTGGAGTTTGACACTTATATTACACGATGATTATGTGTGTCGCATAACGCACACAAGGGATGTCTGGTTGCAGATAGACTTGAACTAAATTTCAACGTTCGGAAAATAATCCTGGCATCTAACATATCCTAAACACATTCATAAATTTTCAAAATGTGTTACCTTTTTCTATACTTAATGTCCAAAGCATAATATTTTTTACAGTTTAATTGAATAATAAACGGATAAGTTTTGATGATTTTATTCCATTGAAGTAGTGAAAAGGTAATGTTTAACTAATATAACATATGGTTTACAGTATATGTTATACACATGCCTCTGTACTCTGACAGCGAAAAGGACACATAGATGTAGCTGTGAAATTATACGGTGGGAGGAAGGGCTAAAGTCTAAACCCTTTAGATATATCTACGTTAGATCACGTATAATTTAGATAACCACAAACACGGATATTTTTGTAATTATTAAAAATTACATCTACAGGTTATTTGAGTTGAACATTTGCAGCTAGATTTAGTATTCGTCAAATTGTGTTTAGCTCACTATTGTATATTGTTAGATAGCAAATTTCACACTGATCAACTGAGTACTGCAGTTTTACACTTCATCACTTCTCATCAGTCTAGTTAATCCAGCTATAGAACATGTTGTCCATTAAGTTATACGTGTCTTTATAAGGGTTAACAAATCCTACACCGTGAACAACTGCATATTGCAGTTACTCACTTCACGCGTTCTCATTAGCTCAGCCATTCCAGCTAAAGAGTATGTTATCCAATAAGCTCTCTATGTCTTTAGAAGTAGGAAACAGCTTAGTGCTATCTTATATTATATATATCACAAACTGATCCAAACTTTCAAGTTCCATTTAAAGTATTAGTAACATTTTTATAAATCTATTTATTACCTCATACAGCTTATCCCAGAAGGAGATGATATTAGCGTAAATAATTCATTCTTATCCTATTTATATTGTCATGTACTTGGATTTTCTAGTTCAGAAGTTTATTTAAGTAATTACAAATACATATTATTCACGTGTGTATTCGTTCATAACTTTCACGATATTTAATCTGACGAAAGCAACATTCCCGTGGTGTTTAGCATTCGAGTGAGCTCGCACTATTTTGCAGTTTGGAAGCAAACATAAACATTAGTTGACGTTTGAACTACATATCTTTTTTTACAAAAACTTGTGTCTGTTTTAATACTTGTGAAAGTAAAAAAAACAAACAAAAAACACCTTAATGCTCTTAAACAAACAAAGAGATTACAAATGTAGAAATATATTATTTTAAATAACGTTTCCTGGTCTTTTGTTGTATGATGTTGAAAGTTGTTTTTAAGATCTAAATTAAGTGTACGTGGCTTAATTCAGTTTTATTGTTTACTGTTTGACTGTGCTATGATATTACTGATGGGGTAGCTGAGTAGTCTGAAAGGCTGGAAACTGTTTAGTAAGCATGGCTAACACTTAAGCTCTGTTTTTAGAAGAAGGGGAGGGCTCGAACCCCCGGAGGTTAGGACAAGCAACTCGTAAGCCAATCTGATCTAAGTAAAGCGTATGTATATACAACATAAATAAGTATTTTGTAATTTGTTTATTTTCTATGGGGGAACGTCATAAAAACAACACAAAAACTGTGAAACTATATACCATCGTATGTATTCTAAACTGGCCTAGGTATTAATCTAAATATCGGAAATCCCAAGGTTAGAACCGCGACATGCCTCTGAACATTCTCTGCGTTTTTAGTTGGGAGGGTGTTATAACTGCAACAGTCATTCCCGCTATTCGGTTAAAAATAACTGCGTAGTGCTAGGTTCTGCTGACTGCTTGCCCCTTGTCAGCAGTTCTAAATTAGGAACGGCTATATCTGAACCTTGAGGGTCTCTGAACTGGCCGTTCATAGTCCTTGTGTCGCAAGTTGAAAATAGCAAATATCACAACTATTCTAAGCCACAATTCAAACTGTTTCCTTGGCAAATCCTTTGTTATTAAACGTGAAGTTCTACTGACTTTATTGTAGGGTTATAATTACGTGTATTATTGAGGTTTTAGTAAGTACACTGCATTGTTATCGTAAGCAGACTGAAGCTATAGTAAGTTCAATGTATTGTTATTGTAAGCAAATTGAGGCTTTAGTAAATATATTGCAATGTCATTGTAAGCAGACTGGGGTCTTAGTAAATACACTGCATTATTATCGTAAGCAGACTGAAGCTATAGTAAGTTCAATGTATTGTTATTGTAAGAAGATGGAACCTTTAGTAACTTCATTGCATCGTATTGTAAACAGAGTGAAGCAAATGTTAGTGGTACGCGAAAAACTTAATATGAAAATTACAAAATTTACAATAAGCCCAATTTAAGCTTCCTGTATAATATTACTCCCCTCACTTCTAGACGCCCTCCGTTTGCATAGACTCGCTATTTCCCTCCCCCCTTCAAACTGACAAAAATCGTACCAAATAGTTATTAATTGTGCCTGGAAAAATACTCACATATTTCCGAATAATAGATAAGGCTAACAATATTAATTTTTGACAATGGGTTTTTCATATTTTTGTTTTCTTTTTTTTTGATTTAGGAATGAGTATGCACTTCAAAAAAAAAACGTTTGAACAAAAAGTTGTACACGACACTCAAACGTTTGAGAACCACTGGATGATAGATAAACATACTGTTAGTGTGAAACGTACTTGCTTAAAGATTATTATTCTCTTCTTTTTTTTTACACAAACTATTTACGTATGGATATTAGAATTTTTTACACAAACTATTTACGTGTGGATAATAGCATTTTTTTTACACAAACTATTTACATATGGATATTAACAATTTTTATTCGTGTGATTTTTTTTCACAGATACACTGTTAACATGATTACAAGGTGTGACGTTCGTTTGCTGTAGGGTAGATAGATATATCGAAAGTTAGTTCTTTGTGTACAGTGTAATTTATGTATTGACGTATACATTTGGCTAAAGCTGATTATTATCAGCTGCGAACTTCCTCTCTACAAATACGTATTAATACTTCCTTCTGACACAGTATTCTGAAATAGATTGAAGATAACAAGAAACATGCGAAGGTTAAAAAAGACAACAGACACAATACTCTTTCGATTACTAAGCGTAGCATCCGGTTGGGGTAGAATAAAAAAAACGATAAATATGTCATCGAAATATAGATAAAAATCAGGTGTTCTAAAGCATTTTAGGGATATCGTGACTGTTTATGGAAATGTGTATGTAAACGAGGCCTAACTATGTTGTCCTTGTTCTGTATTGTCGACGACACACGTCATGGTAGGAGAGAGAAACAGAAAAGGTTAGCTTCTTGTTCTTGCATTGCTCACGTGACAATGCTGACTTGTGCAGAGCGCGAACCCATGTTAAGTCCCAATATTCATTCTGCTTACAGAAATCTGAGTTTCATATGTTCCATTGATTTCGTACCTTGCTGACTTGTGCAGAGCGCGAACCCATTTTAAGTCCCAGTATTCATTCTGCCTACAGAAATCTGAGTTTCGTATGTTCCATTGATTTCGTACCTTGCTGACTTGTGCTGAGCGCGAACCCATTTTAAGTCCCAATATTCATTCTGCCTACAGAAATCTGAGTTTCATATGTTCCATCGATTTCGTACCTTGCTGACTTGTGCAGAGCGCGAACCCATTTTAAGTCCCATTATTCATTCTGCTTACAGAAATTTGAGTTGCATATGTTCCATTGATTTCGTACCTTGTTTATTGTAGATATATATATTCGGATCAAGAAGCTGGTTTTCCATTAGAGCTAATTCCTCTACGTAATTGGTAATATTTAAACAAGATCAATCACTAATCTTGCATTGATCAGCCGGCTTCTAATTTATCTA